AAAAAAAAAGGTGATATGGCAGAAGCCTTACTTCGTGATTTGAAGAAGGAAAAAAAGCAGAGGAAGCCAGGGTTAGGTTGTGTGTGCGTGTAAGCGTGTCTGTGTGACCCTCACGATCTGATCCAGACCATGGGGCTTGGGGCTTGCCTGGAAGTGTCTGGCATGTGCACACTGAGGCCATCTGTCTGGGCTGGCGTGGGTCAGGGCTTTTCTTGAAGGTTGCTGGGAAAGTGGCAGAGCTGGTGTGACTGTTCCCCTGCCCCGGGAACATGGGGTTGACTTCTCTGCAGTGTGATTTTCTACATGGGGGCTTCTGGTGAGAACTGCAGGTTCTTGGCTTTTCCACTAGCACTAATCCTGTCTCTTGCGCTTTCTCAGTCTTTAGTTGGGCAGCTGGGATGTCCTTGTCTTACACAGCTCAGTTTTTCAAAGCCCTTTTGCAAACAGACCCCAGACTGTCTTTGTTCATATCTAACAGCAACTTCCACTTAAAAACGTAACAATTGACTCATTTGACAAATGGAGTGTGTCTCATCAACAGCGGAGCCACACCGCGTGGCTCCCAGGCTTGCTGTGAGTTCTCTAAATTGTACTTTGTTGGGTCTCTACAGCCAGCCTATCTCGGTCAGCCTTTCTGTCGCAGAGGTACTATGAAGACTTGGATGAAGCCAGCTCCACGTCGTCCATCTCCCAGTCTCTGGAGGGGGAGGATGTGCGGGTGTCTTGCAAAGACGAAGAGGCAGTGGTCCAGGGGCCCCGACATGCGCCTGTGGTCCGCACACCTTCTATCCAGCCAGGCCTCCTGCCCCAGGCAGTGCCTTTTGCCAAATCTCACCTGAGCCACAGCTCTTCGCCTTCCACTGTAGGAGCGTCACGTAAGTCAACAGAAGAGAAAAACTATTACCTTATTGGTTTCTAGCCAGCAAGCAAGTGTTCCTGTATTTTTGACAAGGCCCTGATGAGGTGCCAGCACGTGTCTGCCTCTCTTCTAGAAATTTGGGGCTCAAAAGGAGCACGTTCCCCTTGAAAGCAGTGGGAGGGTCACGGGGTAACTTCATTCGTGAGGTTCTGCACCGCAGCAGTGTTAGTGTGGGGTCCAGCTCTTCCTTAGCAGCGGAGGAGAGGTGACTCCTGCAGCTGCACTCGTATGCTCCCTCGGAGTGAAGCTGTGCTGAGGTCACTGGGGGACCCGCAGGTGGCTCTCTGACCTTCAGGGCAGTGCCGGGGCTCTGGGTTGAGGTGACTGAGTAGAGATGGATGCATGAGGACCAGTTGAGTGATTTCATATGAAGGGACCAGGGATCCATGATGTGTCCTGGTGTCACAGCCACCTGTCCATCAGGGTAAGAGGAAGTGCACACAGCAGGGGTGGGCACGCTGTCTGGAAGGTGTGGGTGCCAGCTTCTCCCCTTCCTGGTCATTTTCTGTGTTAATGCTTCAGAGTGCGAATCTCAGCCTCTTCCCTGCAGCCTAACTCAGTCTGACCTCTGGAACTGCTGGGGTTCCTCTTTGCTGGCCCATTTCCTCACTTCACCTTTCTCTTCCCCTCAGTGTCTGCATCTACTAGCAAACTTACTCCTCAGGGGGCCGACAGCACAATGTTGGTGACGAAAACTGTGAAGCATGGTGCTCCTGGGCCCTCCCACCCCATCGCTGCGCCGCAGGCAGCTGCAGCAGCGGCCTTGAGACGGCAGATGGCCAGTCAGTCGCCAGGTAAGGGCTCGAAGCACAGCAGTGGGAGGCAGGAAGAGTGGGCTTTGCTGCTCCTCAGAGCCCTCCCCCAGGCGGAGGCTGGGTCTGCGCGTTTCCCTGGGGGAGATGTTACCACTGCCACATGGTAGTCACCTGCACAATGAGTGGTGTTTTGGGGTCATGTTAATAATCCTTTTTCTTTTTTTACTTTATGTATTTGGTAGTGTCTCACTATACAGCTCAGGCTCGTAGTGATCCTCATTTTCAGCCTCCCTAGTGCTGGGTTTACAGGTATGTGCCACCAGCCCCCAGACTCGGTCACCCTGGAGGCAGGGCCAGCACAGCATGTGGTAGGAGGGATTGAGATAATCCCTACTTTTGACTGATGTTTGCTGTGGGCCCTAAAATTTGTCTTTGCAGCGAGGTCATCTAGTAATACTAGAAACATTTCATGGGCATATTTAGTTCCCATCCACCCCAGAATACTGGGCATTAATGTGCTCATTGTGCATTTTAATGCTGCCAGATTAATTAGAAGTAAAAGTTACCTGAAAAGTAACAGAACCCTAACTCTTACCCTGGGTTCTTTCTGCTTCAGAATGGCTTTTCCTTAATATCGTAAATTCAGCCTTTATAGATGGAAACTCTAATGGGCTAATTAGAACTAATGTTTTGTCAGTGGTTTGTGGCTATTCAAGTTTTCTATATTAAGGCTTAGTAATGTGGATAGTTGGCCCCAGAACTTCAGTTGTCACTAGTTAACACTTTTACAGGCTGATCTTCTCAGCTTCCCCCAAAATAGTTGGCAAGGTTGCCAGCATGCCAAGGAGGCTAGGAATCTGCAAGCAGATCTTGCGGTATTCAGGACAGCACACAGCCCCGGCTAACATCGCACCAGCGCCATGTTGGGAAGGCGAAGAAACCAAATGTTTTCATTTCAGGAAGACCGAAGAGACATGATGACTTGATTTAGCGAAAAAGGAATTACTATTACACAACAATAAAAAATTTTCAAGAAATGTTCAGATATTAAAACTGTGTTAAGACGCCTGAGTAGACACTGTGAAAGAAAGACAAGATAACTTTGTAAGATACCTTTAAGTTTTCAGAAAATGAAATTCTTTAATGGTCTCTTTATCATGTGGGCCAAGCTGTATCATGCCACCTTGGCATCATGCCACCAATCAGGCCCCAAATCCAGTTGATTACTTGTAAATTTAGAAATCTGGAAAAAAAAGAGAGAGAGAGAAATCTGCCAGGCTTTTGGGATGTTCTGATCTCAGCAAGAGGTGATGATAAATTCTTTTCTACACACAGAAGGCAAGAGGAGTTAAAGAGCAGGGCAAGCTAGCCCTGGAGATCACCAGTCTCCAGAGCCAGCGGGTGGCATGAGACCTCTAGAGTGGCAGCTCTGTAACCTCAGAGCATTAAAAACAAAAAATCAAACGCCACAACTTAACAGCCTGACCAAGCCAGGTATGGTGGTGACACCTGTAATCCCGGGAGGCTGAGGCTGAAGCACCACTGAAGAGTTCAAAGCCAGCCTTAGCATAGTGGAAACAAAACTTTCTCAGGTGCAGGGTCCTCTAAACACACAGGGCTGCATGGAGTTGTAGGCACCGTGTTCTTGTCACTCGTGAAGAAGAGGATGGGAGTTCTTCTACTTCTGAAATAGCTAGCAGAGTGCTGCCCTGCCTGGGACACAGCATTCCCCTTTGTCAAAGGCAGAATTAGCAGAGACCGAGGGCCTAGCACAGGCTTTCTTAGTCGCTCATTACAGAACGCAGCGAGTTCTGGAGTCCACGCTACAAAGGTAATGGAGCACATGACCTCACCTGTCTCTGCTGTCTTTTTTTTTTTTATGTATTTGATACAGGGTCTCACTACAGTGATCTTCCTGTCTCAGCCTCCTCAGCACTGGGATTACAGGCGTGTGCCACCACACCCAGTCTTGGTGGCAGCTCAGCATGTCCGGGGGTGGGCCAGCGCGGCACGTGCTGCTGGGGGAACCCCAGTCCCTGTGCTTGCCTGTGCAGGTGCTTAGTCCACTGAGCTTTCTTGCCAGCCTTTGCTGTCTTTTCTTAATCAGACCTCATCTTCGCTGTCATTCTTGTCCAGGCTGTCCCCACATTTTACTCCCATGTCTGTCTGTCTTTCTCACCAAGCCATAAACTCCATTAAAGAAGAAACAACCCTGCAGGCAGCTTTTGTGTTCTCAGCACTGTACAGAACCTGTTGTGTTGTGAGCCTGTGGGAAGGGGACAGATGAATGCGTGGGAAGACCCCAAGCCTGAAGCTGCTGTGAGTGACCTTTGCTGCCCTTTCTGGGGTGCACAGCAGTGCAGCAGGTGCTTCAGCTTAGCTGCAGAGAAGCTGGCCAGGGCGTCCTTCACCTCCGCATTGCTTCCACAGCCCACTGCATGACGTAGTCAGCCTGGCGCAGACCAGGTACCTGCTGATTCCCTGTGTGGTGAGGCTGCGGCCTCCTTCCGGTCATGTCCTGGTCTTTCATGTCTGCAAGGCTGGAAGATCGGCTCTGTACAGAGTTGATAATGATCTCTCTCCTGTGTCTCTGCAGCTGTCAGCACTTTGACTGAATCAACTCTGAAGAACGTGCCTCAGGTGGTCAATGTGCAGGAGCTGAAGAATAATCTCACAGCCCCTGCTTCAGCGGTGGGGTATGTGAGCGCCTTCTGTGTGTACCCAGGGCTCAGGTCACCTGCACTGTGGAGGAGCTGCCTGTAGGGCGCAGCACTGCCATATCCCCAGGCTCAGGTGGCCAGCCCTGCGCCATCTGCAGCTGGGCTTTCAGGAGGCTCCTTTGCAGCTGCAGGGGCCTGTCGCTTCGTAAGCCTTTAAAGTCTGCTTCTGTGTGCCCCTAGCTTGTTTGCTTGTGTGTATGTCTCCACGCAGGACTCATTAGGCATTTTGTTTTGTTTTTTGAGGCAGGAACTCACTATGTAGCCCAGGCTGGCCTCAAATTCTTTAGTGGTCCCCCTACCTCCCCCTCCCAAATGCCAAGATTACAGGCATGTGCCACGATGCCCAGCTTGGTTAGACTATTAAGTTAGGTGTGGGGTTTTGATTTTTTATTTTGTTTTTAATGCTCTCAAGTGCCAAAGCTGCCACTTTGGAGTTCTAATGCCACCCACTGGCTCTGGAGACTGGTGATCTCAATGTTATCTCACCCAGCTCTTTGACTCCCCTCACCTTCTGTGTGTAGACAGTTAGTGCCCGAGTTGCAGACTTGCTTTCCTTGTGCCCTGTGAGGGCCAGATGTGACTCCTGGAGCCCACACAGCTCCCTTCTGTGTCAAGGCATGGGAGAAAGTCACCACCTCGCAGCGCAGAGCTGGTGGCGCCTGCCTTGTCCTCTGCTTTGCTCTGGGCCTTTGTAGTGAGACAGTCCCTTTATACTTCCCAGTCTCCCTGTGCCAGAGCTAGCAGAAGGGCATTGGCTTGGTGTGCAGTGCTGAGAAGCAGTGGCTCAGGAGTCAGTGGCTGGAGGTCCCTCTGCTGCATGTCTGCTCTGCGGCCCTCTGCAGAGCAGACCCCCTTGCAGCGCCACCTTCCTTCTGAATGCAGTACTTGCAGTTGTGAACTTGTGCAGAGAAAGACTGAGCCTTAGCGTTGGGAGTTGTATGCTCCCATCGGGGAGGCAGGAGCCAGTGCCAGAAGGGGGCTGCCCAGCAGAAAGTGCAGCGTGTGATAACAAGGGAGCCCTAGGAGCTGAGGTATTCAGCCAGTAAGTGAGGCACGGCGCATCTTTCCCAGGCATTGTCTCCCAGTGTCTTCAGAGCTGGCATCTGTAAGGGCTGTGCCCGAGGGCACCTCTGGGATTACTTTCTGACAAAAACAGGCACAGAAGTTGGAGAGGCATCTCAGACAACCTTCTCTTCTGGTCTGCACCAGATTGGCCTGATGTAACGTATGAGTCCAGCACAATGCTGAAACAGCTCATTTTAAACATTCAAAGTTGGCAGACTCCACGCATAATCAGTCAGGAAAACCTGAGATTTCCCACCTCCCCTAGAGGAAAGATTGAAGTGCACACTTGGTGTGAAGTGACTTCGCATTCCGTAAGGCAGTAGATTTCTGGTGTATCTGAGGTTTTCGCTTTGCACTTTCCTGTGGTCTGGAAGGGCCAGTGCATACATTCCTGCCCCTGGCCTGTCATCTTCATTGGCTTCGCCCTCCTGCCTCTGGACAGCTCCCTGGGTGGCGTTTACCTGAAGCACATGCACGCTGCTGCAGCCCGTCTGGGGCTCAGGCCCTGGAGCCCAGGGCACAGCAGTGAAGGACACGCGTCAGAACCCCGTCTGCTCAGCAAAGGGGGACTCTGCACGTCCAGCAGTAGTGCACAGGAAGGTTGCCTGGACTCCCATCACACAGCTGCACCGGGTTCAGAGGGTGGATGCTGAGATAGCCTAGAGCAGGGCAGTGAGCAGGTCTGGGTGCAGGAGGCTGGATGCGGTGGGGTGTCGGAGCTGCGATGGGAAGGATTGTCAGGAGCTGCTAAGCAAAGTGGAGAAAAGAGCATTCCAGACAAGGAAGGGCAGGGTGTAACAGCCCAGGCTGGAGCATAGCTGCCGGAAGTAGAGAATGAGGAGATGGGGAGGGCCACGTGAGGTCCGAAGGGGGCTTTGTTTTTTCATTGGTTGTTGTAGAGCGCACCAGGTACATCCCTCCTTCAGAAATGTTGGGGTTCTTTGGTGGGCTCAGTCTTTCAGCATGGACTTAGCATTCGTTGCTCACTGTATTGCTGTTCTAGTGCTGGAGATGAAGCAGTTAGCAGAGCAGCGCAAAAAGCCCTACCGCTGGCATGGAGAGACAGACAGTGAAAAAGTAACCAAGGAAGACATGGAACGTGTTAGATGTGGAGAGCATGTGGTGGCGGCGAGTGGCGCTGGAGGCGAGTGGCGCTCCTAGGTAGGGTGGCCAGGGATGCTCCAGGATGGTGAGCTGGGCATGCTGGCTGCACAGCTGGAGTGCAGGTCTGGGATGGGAGCTCCAAGTGCTGTGTCTGTGGCTAGAGAGCCAGAGGAGGAGGCAGAGGCGGCGGTGGCAGTGGTGACATCCATGCCGAGGAGCAGGAGGGGCATGCTGAGTCCCTGCTTTCCCTTTTCAGCTTCCATTGGAAGATGGAACTGCTGGACCACACGGTGACACCCTGGTCAGCTTTTTACATTGACATAGCTGTGATCCGTTGACAGTGCCCTGTGCCATTCCCCAGTGCCAGTGCCACTTCGTCCATGACCTCGCTGCCCCTGTTCAGTTGGCTTCCTTGTGGTGACAGCCACCTCTCCCACTGTGGCTGTGATCTGTGTTTCCCTGCGTGCTGGTGATGCTGAGTGGCTCTTCTGTGCTGTTTGGCCACTTGTTTCTTTTTTGGAAAAATGTCTAGATTCATTGCCTGGTTTTTAATTGGGTTGTTTTTCTTTTTACTGCTGAATTTAAATGTTCTTTTCCCCCTTCCACTTATTAGGTGATTTTTCACTTTCTTCCTGTGTCCTTTGATACAGAAACTGTTCCATTTTGAAATCCAGTTTTTCGTTTTGTTGCTTCTGTGGTTTAGGTGTCATGTTTTAGAACCTGTTGCCTAATGTAAAGCCATAAAATATACATCTGTGTTTAATAGTTTCAAAGTGTTAGCTCCTGTACTTGTGTGTGGTCTGTGGAATTTGTCTTTGGAAATGGTGTGTAGATTCAGTGTCCTTTAAATTTTGTATGTTCTTTGAGCTCCATTTCTTGAAGACTTCTCTCACCCACTGGGTCATCTTGACAAGGATTTGACATATTGATTGGTCTTTGATGTTAAGCCCCTGCTTGGTAGTGGTGCATTCTTGCCCTCTTGTGCTTTCGGTATATGCTTGGGCTTGATTTGTTTTTTTTTTATTTTATTTTATTTGTGTGTGTGTGTGTGTGTGTGTGTGCGTGCGCATGTGGCCAGCTCAGCCCACCAGGGGGCGGGGCTGGCTGGCATGTGGTGCTGGGGGATTGAACTGCGGTCCCTGTGCTTTACTAAGCTTGTTCTAAGTAGGTGCTTTAGACCACTGAGCCATCTCACCAGCCCTTGGGCTTGATTTGTTAAAATTTTAAGCTAGAAATGCTAGGATTGAGCCGTGAGCCCCAGCATTGAGCTATATCCTCAGCCTTTTATATTTTTATTATCTCTCCAGCCCTCTCACTTTTAAGGCCCCTTAAAAGTTGGAATAGATGAAAGAATGAGTGAGTTGTTGACCCTTTTTGTAATAAGTTTAGTATTTACCTTGCTAAAGTTCATTTAGGCTAGTAAGAAAATGCCCTGTACAACATTTTATTGCTTCACAATTCAGCAGCCCTGTTTTATAACTGTCACTTTACACTTGGCATTGAGTTGTTTTAGTTGTAGAACAGTGTCAAGATGAATTCTGGTACCCTTCAGATCGGTCTTGCTAGAAGGTTGCTTCTGCAGTGGCATCTAAAACACGGTGCCCTGCGTGGCAGACCCTGGCTGTTGATTTCCATTGTTGTGTCTGCGATCGCGCCAAACCTTTGAGCATATTCACTGGGCGTAGACTGCCCTTCTGTTTGCTCTTTTAGGTCAGGGTGGAGGTTTCGTGGGTGCAGTTTATCTGTTGGTCTGTCAGTTGGTTGCTGCACACCGTGTTCGCTGCAGGGGAGTCCCGTGGCCCAATGTTTAGGTGTTGCGAGGCCTAATCTTGTGCTTGGGGTTTAGGATTCCCAGGAGGGCTGTAGCATTATCACAGTAAAGAGGACAGTCACTGTACTCAGTCAGGTATTTGCCTCATTTAATTTGCCATCGGGTCATAACTAAATTTGGGATATAAAACGTTATCCAAGGTTTGGATAAATGGTTACTTTTATTTTACTTCTGCTTTCCTTTTTGTTTGTCTTTGAGAAAACTAGGATTCTGCTTTCCTTTGTGAGTCCCATGGGCTCAAACCATTTCTCCAGCAAGGCTGCCCTTGTTGGCCGGGGCGCCTGGGTCCCAGCAGCAGTGCTGTGGCCTGTGGAGCCTGTGGAGCTGCAGACCTGCTGGCTGGGGCAAGGCTTGGGGCAGCGGGGCTGCATTCCTCCAGCGAGGACCACCTTTCCAGCTGCTTCCAGCTCCAGGAGAGACAGGCTGGCTGGAGCTTCATTGAAAATGCATACTTTTCTTCTCTCATCTACTAAAGTCTGTAGGGAAAGGCCTGTGCCGTTCCCTAGGGAGTCCTCACATGCTTGTAAGGCATAAGTTGTTGGTAACTTTCTTCATGAGGCATAGGCCTCTCTTTCCTACTTAAATTGTATTTTGTCTTTAATTACCTAGGAATCGAACTTCAGGCCTTAACCCTGAGCTAGTGCCCAAGTTCTTTTTATTTTTTATTTTGAGCCCAGGTCTTGAGCTCTTAGTTGGCACACTGGGCTCAGACTTTAATCCTCCTGTCTCAGCCTCCCAGAGTTCTGGAATTGCAAGTGTGCACCAAGCTCCAGGTTAAGTTTTTGTCAATATATTTTCTTTTTTCAGAACTGGGGATTGAACTCAGGACCTTGTGCTTGCCAGGCAAGTGCTTATTCTACTGAGCTATCTCCCCAGCCCCAGGTTAAGTTTTTGGTAGAAAGTTAAAAATAAATCTCCCTAAAATTAGCAAAAGTTATGAAAAACAGAACCAGACCCCACGGCTGCTCCTGCTATCCGTACCAATCACAGTAGCTTCGGGCTGAGCAGACGCCAGAGCTTTGATCTCTGATCACATTGACAGTGGCTTTCCCACGTTAGCCCCGAGTGACTGCAGCCTGAGTTCCAGCATCCAGCGTCAAGAGCTAACAGGAGATGCACACAGCGCTGCACTTTTTATACTGTGCGAAAGCATGGGTTGAGCGTGGAGCGGTGGCACGCTTGAGCCCCTACAGCCCTGGCCGGGAGCCCCAGGTCTTGGCAGCGCTGCTGTGGGAGGCTGACAGCGCTTCCTGGGTCGTTCCCTTGAGCTGTACGTGGAATTCCGCAAGTGGTGTGCATCCCACAGATCCTACTGAACATTTCTTCCAGGGCCAGAAAAGAGCTAACAGTTCCCAGCCTAGTCAGGTGACGGGCGACTGCATGCGCGAGGGCTCTCTCCAGATAAGAAAGTGATCTAGTTCTAATAGGTCTAGTTCTAAAGTTCCTTATGGGATTGAGATAAACTTTAAGGTCACCACTTGGAGCTTTGTACTTAAACCCCAAATTTCATTTAAAAAATTTATTCTGCAATCAGCAAAATGTGAAATGAGTTTGCTTGGGGCTGCAGACAGCTGTATTCTGCTCCCCAGCTGCTGTCCCTTATTGGACGGAAAGTTGACCTGGGGCCCAGTGTGCTCCTCATGCTGCCCTCTGAGTGGACGCTTTGTGTTTTTCAGGTCTCTGGTGCCGTACTCAACCACCAAGACGCCCCACCCCGTGTTGGCCCCGGTGGCTGCCAGCCAAGCCAAGCAGGTACCATCAGATAGCAGTGTCAGCAGTCCTGCGCTGTTGTAGCTGAAGACTCCATCCAGTCCCCTCTTAGTTTAAATGAGCCACACACCTGATAGAGCACTGTGGCCTTTTCCTCATAATGAACTAGAGCAGTCAGTCAGACCTTGCACTGTCTTCACAGCCGTTTGACATACCGCACCAGTCACCTCACGTTAGAATTCTGTCCTGTGGGAAGGGACAGGGGCTTACAGTTTACTGAACACGTTTGCCAAGCCCAGCCCCTGCAGTGTGCTCCCTGAGGATTCAGCCCTGCAACAGGCGGGCTCACCTGATTTGCGCCCCCACCCAGGAACCACCGTGGGCTTCTGCCTGCCAAGTGCTCAGTCCCGCAGTCCGTCTCCGGGTTTGCCTGATCTCTCTGATGTTATGTCCGCCTCCAGGCCCCCAACTGCTGAGCAGTGTCTACTACAAAAATAGGTCCTGTTGTAAACAGTGTAGAAGAAAATAACAGAAGATAGCTGGAGGTGGACCCAGTGAGGTCGAGGTGTGTCCTAAGGAGCTATGGTTGCTCTGCCACTCCCCCGTGCTTGCTGAGATGAGTTGCTATAAATGGTGTTTGCGAGCAGCGAACTTACACCCTGAAAGTTTGTGTTCAGATGTGACCCTGTTCCTTAGTTTGCTGTGTCCTAAGTGGCACTTATGAGATGTGATCAACTATATGGTAAATGTTTAAATTTTTTAGAAACTTGCTGTACAAGACACTGCCATTAATCTGCCTCAGTACACACTTAGAGCATCGTTCTTCCGCCTTCTGAAGCTCTCTGGAAGTCCTCTTTCCTATCCTCAAGAGGTGTGATCAGAAACAAGCGGTGAACAGTGCTGCTGCACACCATGCTGCGGCGAGCCCAAGCTGTGCAGACGCGACCCTGGTCCTCCTCTGCCTCGCGCTCTGGCCCACTGGTGACTTCTGGCTCCTCCCCAGAGTCATAATGGCCGTGAAAGGAAATGTGAACATATGCAGGACTCCGAGGCAGCCGTGGCAGAGTAATTAAGCTGCAGACTGCCCGGAAGAGGACTCCAGAGCTGCTGCAGAAAGTGGCAGGGACGGTGGGATGGGTGTTGAAAGCAGGGAGATTGCCGGCGCTGTTTCTTGGTGGGGCAGGAGTACTAGGACTCAAACTCAGGACCTCACACTTGCCAGGCAGGCATTGTACCGCTAGGCTGTATCCCCAGCCCATTTCTTTTACTGTAATAATTAATTTCTTTTAAATGAACATCGCCATATATTTTCAGCCATAACGCATAAGAATTTAACACTTGCCCCTGGAGGTCACAGGAGAAGCATACGTTGTGGCTGACAAGTGAGAGAACACTAGCTATAGATGGAGAGCACAGTTTTGCTTATAAACCTATTGTAAATTCATGGAGGGCTAGAACATTGCCCACCTTGCCCATTCACTTGTTCACCTGAGAAATATTCCAGAGGCTTTTGTGAGGCAGGCACTGTGCTAGGCACTGGGAAAACAGCTCTAAACTGGACAGGCCTGGCAGCCTTCCTGACACAGGTAGACTCAGCCTGCCCTCTCTGTCCTCAGGGGGACCTTACTGGTGGATAACTTAAATTCAGACTTGCTTTCTTCCCTTTTTTTTTTTTTGGTAATTAAGCTAAATGAACATATTTATGCTTGCTTAGTTTATTTACATTTGTCCTTTTCCCTTCATCCAAATGGGCTCCATGGTTTACCAAAAATATTTTCTTGTGTTCTATCACAGGGGTCTCTGATGAATTCCTTGAAGGCATCTGGGCCGCCGCCAGTGCCCACTCAGTTGTCACCTGCTGATAAAGGCTCAGGTCAGTTCGCATTCTTGTTTTATTGCAGAAACACCTAAACAAGTTTTGCTGTGTGCAGTTGGGTGGTAAACACAGGAAATCAAGTTCAAAGGTCATACCAGGGAGGCCTCAGCTGAGGGAGGATTTCTAGGACATGAGTGAGCCATTCAGTAGCTTCTGAAATTTTGAGTTGAGTTTGAAAAACTTCAGACTGGCAGGGGAAAACCTTTGTTGAAGCTGTTTCCCTAGGAAGGAGCAGTAGCATGTCTTCTGCCTTGTGAGGAGGGTTAGGAGTATTGCAGCATCTCCTCTAAAAGAAATAAAAATTCCCTGGCTCACAGACAGTTCAAAAGCTAGTACAGGAGCTGGTGAGATGGCTCAGTGGTCTAAAGCACCTACTTAGAACAAGCTAAGCTAAGCAAAACACAGGGACCACGGTTCAATCCCCCAGCACCACGTGCCAGCCAGCCCCATCCCCTGGTGGGCTGAGCTGGCCACACACACACAAAATAAATAAATAAATAAATAAATAAATAAATAAATAAATAAATAAATAAATACCTGCTACATTAAAAGCTAGTACAAAAGAAAATGGATTTGTTAGTGGAAGGTCTCAGAGCTGGGGTTCTATAATAAGTCAGTGTGACAGGCCTTTTCAGCCTGGCTCGATGCTCACTCAGCTGTAACTGTTCTTTGGTAAACTAGCTTCACAGTGAGTGTTGACTGGCTGGCTTGCCTGACCCGAAGGGAAGCACTGCTTTTCACATGGGTGCTCCTTTGTGTCCGCTCTGGGCTCTGTTCCCGTAGCCCTCCTCTAGTCTGGCTCAAAGGACTCCGCCCCAGTGACTGTATGGCCTTGGGTCTGCGTTGGTGCTGCACTCGGGACTCTGGCTTGCAGCTTGATTGACCTCGAGGCCTCAAGCAGGTCGCATCTAAAAGGTCCCACAGTCACTGCCCTGGTCCCACAAGTGCTGCTCAGTCGTGTGGTGATGCTGGCTTTCTGCGCCGGCCAGAGCATTTTCCTCGGCTGTCAGGGTTACTGTCAGCAAATACTCCTTGCACTCCGAAGAAAACCATTCTTGTACAAGCCACCATGGAATTCAGCTTAATGCAGAGCCGCAGTAGCACCTAGCACCTGGGGACTAAGGCTTGAGTGACGTAGGAGTCAAACTAAGGAACGCATGTCTGTTTTCTGCTGATAGTTTAGAACGGTGATATAACCCTCACTTCTCTCAAGGACCGCCCTGGAGAGCCCTTTCTCCTCCTGAAGTTAAGGGACCTGGTTTCATGTGTGGATAAGCGGCCGTGTGACAAAGAGCACTGTGAGCATCAGCGCTGGTGGTGGTGGTGAAGGCCTTCATTGCCCTGTGTTTGTGCTTTCATTCGCTGGAGAATCAGAGATTGTAGAAAGAGCGTTTGCTTTTGGGAGGAAATCTTCCCTGAAAAATTCTGAGTTTGTAGAAAATTCTTTTTTAGCATTTCTAAAAGCTCTGCTGAATGGCTCTTTTATTAGTAATGGAAGTACTTTTATTATGTCTTACAAAGCTACGTGCATCAGCACTGGCAGCATACCTCCATGGTGAGAGGCTTGTGTGGCATGCACAGTCCCTAGAACGGCAAAAGGAGGAGGGAGGGAGGGAAGGGGCGGGAAGACTGAAGGATAGAAACCGTCATAGAGGCATGAGGAAACCTGTGTTGTAGAGATCGGAATTGGAGATGAGAGCTCCCCTGAAAACTGCATCTTTCCGTGATAATAGCCCTTAGCCATTTTATGTGTATCTCAAGGCTACTAAATTGTTTTCGAAACAAAAGCAGGGGTCCTGTTTATACTGACCTTCTAGGCTATGTCCTCTGAGCCCCTCCCTGGTGCAGTAAATGCCTGCACCTCTGCAGCCTGGTACCCTGCTGCCTCCCCTTTAGCAGCCACCCAGGGCTCTCGGTGTGGCTCCCCTGTGCTCCCAGGTGCTGCCGACCTCTCCAGGGTTCTTTCTCACGCTCCCGGTTGCAGGCATAGCTGCCTGGATGCGCCGTGCACACTGCATTTGATCCCAGCAGCTTGGCATCTCTTTATTATGGCCACCCCACATTCATTGAAAGAAAGCATATTTTGTTCTTAGGATTGTTTGGTTTGGCTTGATTTGGGCATTTTATTTTGGGGGGCTCTTTAAATACACTGTGTCACACACCCATTTAAAATCGAGTAAGAGGGAAAATATTGAGAATTATACCTCAAACTAGCAATTAGGGGGAAGTTGAACCAAAGGAAGGTGATGATTTGTACTGTAACTTTCTACGCTTCCTTAAGTTATAGTGATCGTGTACTACCTCTATAACTTAGAGAAAAGAAAACTTTTATTAAATTTTTTAAAACAAATAAGTAAATGTTAAAACATTGAAAAACATAAAGGATAGTATATATGAAGTCACTGTTCAGAAATGTTTAGCATGTTAACCTACTTTTCTTTGGATTTTTTTTCCCTTCAGTGTATTGCTTTTTGTTGTTATTTGGGGTTTTTAGGGGGGTGCTTTGTTTTGTTTTTTTTGAGGCTGGGTCTCGCTATGTATGTAGCCAGGTGCCTGAGCTTGCGCCAGTCCTTTTGCCTCAGCCTCCCAAATGCTGAGAGTGAAGGCATGCATCCCCATGCCTAGCTTTTTGGGGGCTTGGGGGTGGTTTTTAATTAATTTATTTATTGGGTTCAGAGTCTCACTACACAGCTCAGAGTATAGTGATCCTTCTGTCTCAGCCTCCCCAGTGCTGAGATTATAGGCATGCACCACCACACCTGGTTTCGGTGGCGAGCGCTGTCTGGGGTTGGCACGGTATTCGGTACCAAGGATTGAATGCGGGTCCTTGCATTTGCCAAGCTGGCACTTAGACCACCAAGCTATCTGCCCAGCCCCATATTTTTTTGTCTTTTTGAGACAAGGTCTTGCTTTGTAGTTCAGGCTGGCCTTGAACTCACTTTGTAGCCCAGGCTAGTCTTGAACTCGAAACAATCCTCCTGTATCATTGTCCTGAGAGCTGGGATTACAGGTGTGCACCACCACACCCAACATTCCTTCAGTGTGTTAAGTGGAACTCATTTAAAGCCATATATATGTGGCTGTATACACCCATATATGTGAACATGTACGTGTGTTTGTCTATTTACATCAGTTAGTCTACAGTAGAAGCACTCTCCTACAGCATAAAATCTGAGGACTGCTCTTTTGCAGCTTTCCTCTTGGGCTGCACTGGCATTGTTTGCTCTTTCCCAAAAAGGAGACCCTGCTGTCCTCTGATGGGAGTTAACTCTGGCAGAGCAGAGGAGCCAGCTCTGAGCCTGGGAGCTAAGTCCACCGCATGCGCTCTCCCAGGGTTCCTGCGGGGCGGAGCTCTGGACAAGTGTGCAAGCTGGAATGGTGCTTGATAGATGTTTTCCCTCCTTTCAGGGCCTGGACCAGCCAGGGCAGACACAGTGGTGACCTCGACTCCCACTGCTACGGGGCAGTGCAACAAGCCTTTCTCGTTCGCACCATCAGGGTCAGTACTGGACACATCGCCTTCCCAGCTCTTACATCTGGCCGAGCTGTGTGCGCACCCATGCACACGCTGATCTGGGGTGTTGGCCACAGCTCTACCCCTCCACTAACATAGCGACTGAGATTGGTGGTAGCCCGGCCTTCTGATGTCAATCAAGCAGAAGATTTCAGTAGCCTGCACTGTAGTCTGGTCACTTGTGCAAGTAGTCTGGTTTGTAAACTGAGATAGCTTCATGCTGACACTCCTGGGACACTGGATGTGACACTTAGGGTGGTTTTACTGCACCAAGCATGCAACAAAAGAAAAACCATTTAAAATTGTGGTTTCTGTAGAGATGGAGAATCTATTTCTGTTTTATGTTTCTAAAGCCAGTCATGGCCGTATGGGTAAAGTTGAGTCATCCTGTGAAGCGAGAATGTCTTCTGCACCTCAGGTTCCCAGGTCATACTTGCGTTGAAAGCACCAAGCCCTGCTGGGGTCCCCGTCCCCACACTGTTGCAGTCAGGCTGCAGCTGAGGTCAGAACCTCTGGGCAGATCTGTCACTTTCAGGTTCTGTGAGCATGCAGAGTACTCCTCTCACTGAAGTCTTCTTGGCGCTGTCCCTTTCCCAACCATCCACGATTCTTTCTTCTCCACCTCACATGAGAGAAAAGTGGGCATTAGGGTTGAAGGAGGAAGCTCTGTGCTCCACGGATTCTTTGTTGTGCATCCAGCTCTCTACTCCGCAAAGGTAATTAGGCGCCAGTTTAGCCGGTGCTGAGGGTGCCAGCTGCCTCGCACGTGCTGGTGGTGCATCTTGCCTTCTGCAACATGTTACTCCTCTCCCCGTTGTAGAGCACACCAGAAGCTTGCAGGCTGGCTTGCCCTGGTTAGGGATGCCTCACCAAGACTGAGGCTGCCAGCAGAGACAGAGTTGTTCTCTGTGTACGATGAAGTGCTTACTCTTATCTTGAGGGCAACCATGGGTAATAAAATCTAATCCTTACTGTATTTATTCCACTGAACTATATCCTCAGCCCAGCCCCTTATATTTTAAAACTCTTATTTAGTCTAAAATCTACTCTTCAAGCTTTTGTTACGGTGACTCATCCATTCTGGCCCACATCTGTGTTGAATCTCCTCCTTTGGCTGTGAGATCTGTCCCTGGTGTGTAAGGAGCATGTACAGGAAGTGAAAGGAGTGGGCGAGTTCTAAACAGATCCTCCCAGCCCAGAATGCCGGGCTCTGTCCCAGTGCCAAAGGCAGTGCTGCTGGCCCGTTCTAATCAGAGTCCCCCTTTGGGACATGGGGCTCTCCTGCTCTGCCCTCGGCCCAGGGGTGGGGTTCGAGCATCCCCCTAATCCAGCCACTCATGTTTTTCCAGACTTCTTTCCACCACGGCCCACCCACCACACACTCAGGCAGGCCCTCCACTCAGCCTCCACTCCTGAGCATGCTCCCAGTGTCCCCACTACTGCCGTGTGCTTTTCATGGCTAACTGTCCAGCCAGACCTCCAGGCTTCCCCTAGGGCCTTGCTGGCTGCACCCTTCTGCCCCGTCACATCGCCTGGCCCTCCTGGAGACCTGGGAGAGCCCTGAGCACCTTAGAGAAGCTTATATTGAATAAGGGCAGGTTGGGTTCAAAATTCTGAAGGGGAATATTGAAAGGGCGGTTTTGTGCCTTGGGTTTGACTCTTTTGTTAACTTTTTTTCTCTTTGCTAGGACTGGCTTCAATTTTGGGATAATTGCACCAACACCATCTTCTAATTTCACTGCCACACAAGGTACAGTCTCGTTGCATGGCATTACTTTTGTATTCCTCTGAACACCAGGTTATTTTTGTACAGATGTGATGACATTTTAATAATCCTGGCTTTTGCTTGCAGTTTCTGCTGTAATTTTGGTGTTGATGTGCATTAAAAATATGTCCAGGGCTGGAGAGATGGCTCAGTGGTCTAAAGCACCTACTTGAAACAAGCTTGGCAAAGCACAGGGACCGCGGTTCGATCCCCCAGCACCACATGCCAGCCAGCCCCGCCCCCTGGTGGGCTGAGCTGGCCACACACACACAATAAATAAATGTAATAAATAAAAATAAATAAATAATTTTTAAAAAAAATATGTCCAGGTCCCACATGCTGTGCCAGCCCAGACCCTGGAGCACACTGAGCTGTGGTGGCACAAGGCTATAATACCAGCACTGGGGAGGCTGAAAACAGGAGGATCACTACGAGTCTGATCTGCATAGTGAGACCCTGCAATAGATATATTTTTAAAAATACATTAAAAAAAAAAAAAACTGTCTCAAAAAGACCAAAAAAAATGGCCTTTTTCCATCTTTTTTGTCTGTAATTTAAAATGCCATCAGTTTGTGGAGTGATTTTGTGGGGTAAGACAGACATAGTAACACAGAAATAAAAGACTGGAGTTGTCTCACCTGGTCACATGGCAGCAAACATGCTGGCCCATCTGTGCTGTTGACGAGCCATTACAGTGGGTTTGGTTGTACTGTTTAATTGGTATATACTTAGGGTTCCTGATGTAAGAAAAGCCAGGGGGATACGTAAGCATGTGTCTCGGGTTTATTTCACTTTATGTAATGGTCTCAGGTTATATCCATTTGTCTGCAGATGAATTAACTAGATCCTGCTTTAAAAACAGCATTTTTTAATGTGTACAACAATTCAAAGGCATGTGAAAAACAGTGCCTGTGTCTTAAGTACCTTCCTGTTTTCAACTTAACTAATTTTTTTTTTTTTCTGTGTTTTCACTCCCCTGATTTTTCTTTATTTTAATTTTTGGGTTTTTGTTTCTTCTTTTAAGTTCACACATTCATTTGTAAAAATAAAGTTCCTTTTGAGGAAAACACAGAAATATAAAAAGACATAAAGGTATTAGAATTATACTGTGTACCCTCAGTAATTTCACTTCTAGGGGTTTTTTTTTTTTGGGGGGGGGTGAGACACGGTCTAGCCCTGTAGTTCAGGCTGGTCTTAGACTCACTTAGTGGTCTAGGCTGGCTTTGAACTTGTGGCAGTCCTCCTGCCTCAGCCTCCTCAGTGCTGGAATTACAGATGTGCATCACCAGTTCTATTACATTTCCTCCTGGGAATTTTGTCTACTTTTTCAGTTACCATAATGTATGAATTTTCCAGTATTAAAAATATGACATCATTTTTAATTGCATCACAATTCTTGTTAGATATTCCACACTTCATCCAGTCCTCCAACTACTGTGTTGGTTATTTCCACAGTGTTCTGGTATAAATAGCCCAGTGACCATCTTTTATTCTTTCATTCAGCAAATCTTCTTGGGCTCAGGATATGACCCAGTAGAACACTTGTCTACATTATATGAGGCCCTGGCTCAGTCCCCAGTACCACATACAACACACAAAGAGCCCAGTTAGGCCTAAAAATGTCAGGAATTTATTTTAGTTTTGTAAAAATTATGAGATAGAATCCTGGCCAGGCAGAGCTACGTGGTCCTCCTGCCTGAGCCTCAGTAGTAGCTGATGCTACAAGGTACGTTCTGTGCCCAGCTGTGTGCTAGGGTTTCCGGGTGACATCAGCTCTTCTCAAAGTCTGGAAGATCAGGGGCCTGAGAGCGTAGCAGGCATTTTAACCCTGATCTAAGCAGGCTTCTTACAACATTGGCAATCTCATGCATTTCTAGAGCAGAAATTTTTAGACTTTCTTTCAACCTTTGCCACTTAGGTGTGGCAGAACACCATTGGCGCATCATTTCCCTCCTCTCACTTTCTAGAGGGAGAATAATTTCATGAAGTAAAAAGATTGGAGAGGAACAAAGTCATTGTCAAAAAGCATAGGGAGCTTGGTGGAGTGGTGTGCACACGTGATCCCAACTACTCAGGAGGCTGAGTTAGGAGGGTCACAAGTTCAGAGCCAGCCTGGCCAACTTAGCAAGACCCTGTTTTAAAATAAAAAATAAAAAGGACTCAGGGCATAGCTCAGAGTTAGAGTATTCGCCAGCATCACAGGAAGGAAAAACAAGAAAAGGAATAAAATGCAGTAGTGAATTTTATACTGTGTATAAGCATTTTAATTGACACTTTAGTAGACAGTGGCCCAAAACCAAAACAACTCAAGACAAAGCCTGTAATAAGATAGCTTGGTTAGTAGAGCCCCAGTAAGTACATTTATAAAACCATACTAAAAAAAATAAGTATCTGGGATTAACATTTTGTGCCCATAAATACATAAAAGAACATCCCTTTGCAGTTGAGCCCTGTTCTCCAGGAGATCCAGAGGTCCTGGATTGAGGGTGTGAGACCAAGGCCATGGATTTACTAAATCCACCTGACTTCCTGATTTCTTTCTCTTGCTAGGGGCAGCATCCCCCACCAAAGACTCAAAACAGCTTGACTCACTCACCTTTGGAGGAGGCAGCAAATCTTTTTACGAGCCTGTCCCCGAAAGCACCACTCCCTCAGGATTCACTCCATCTCCCAGCACTCCTGGAGGAAACACTGCCACCTCTCCAGGGGAGCCCCTGGCCTCCAGCAGCAGGCCTGGGGCTCCTTCAGCGGTCACGCTGCCCACTGCCTCTAGCAAGCCGGAAGCCGCACCAAGCAAGCTGGGAGAGCTTTTGTTCCCCAGCTCTTTGGCCGGAGAGACTCTAGGAAGCTTCTCAGGCCTGCGTGTGGGCCCCGTAGAGGACTCAGCAAAGCCACCCAGTAAGTCCCCCTCCCCGAGCCTGATGGGGGCACATCCGGCCAAGACTTCTAGTGTGGGCTCTGGGTTCAGCTTCAGTAGCTCTCCAGGGCTTGGGAAGCCTGCAGAGTCCCTGGCTACCTCCTCTGGGACCGCCAGCCCTGCTGCCCCAATGGCTACCACGAGCACAGGCACAGCCAATTCCTCAGCAGGAATCTTCAGCAGTCTGCCACTCACCAGTGCAGGACCCTCTGGTACTGTCAGTTTTAGTGGGGCATCATTAAGTGGCAGCAAGACTGTCTTTTCATTTGGAAGCCAGCAGACCAGTGACACTGCACTGTCACCCGCTGTTCCAGTGGCAACGACGGCCGCTCCCCTCCCAGCATCGTTTCCCAACTTGTCCTTCGGTGGCCTCCTGGTCTCAGCGCCTGCCCCCTCCCCACCCATGTCCGCGGGAAAGAGCACAGAGGAGGCCTCATCGCCAGCCTCTTCCGAGAAGCCAGGCAACAGCGAAGGCTCTGCCCCCGCAGTAGCTCCTCCCACACAGCCACAAGCCACTGCGCAGGCAGCCTTGCAGGCCTCTGAGCTGGTGAAGAAGGAGCCCGCTCTTCTGCAGCCTGCAGCCAGCAGCCCCGGCCTGACCACCCCGAGTGCCAGTCTCACAGGGACTCCTGCAGAAACTGCTCCCTCTGCCCCTGGGGGCCCTGATGTCAAGGAGGAGGCTGTGTCACCTGCTGCCAACTTCCAAGCACCTGGGCAGGCTGCTGTCCCACCTGCAACAGCACCAGGCTTGGGCCCTGTGGCTGTAGACTCCTTGGCTGCGACTGTGACCTCTGTCCCTGCTTCCAGCAGTGCTCCAGGCCCCACTGCAGAGGCAGCCGTGTTCAGGACTGTCACCTCCGACACCTCTGTCTTTCCTCAGCCACCTGTTGCCAGCGCCAGCTCAGCATTCAGCCAGCTCACCAGCAACACAGCCACAGCCCCCTCCAGCGCCCCTGTGTTTGGACAAGTGGCAGCCAGCACGGCGCCAAGTCTGTTCGGGCAGCAGACAGGTAGCACAGCAACCACGGCACCGCAGGTCAGCAGCTCAGGATTTGGCAGCCCAGCCTTCGGGGGCTCAGGCCCAGCCATCTTCGGCCAAACAGCATTTGGGCAGGCCCCGGCCTTTGGCCAGGCCACCAGCAGCCCTGCCAGTGGCTTTTCCTTCAGCCAGCCTGGGTTTAGCTCAGTGCCTGCCTTCGGCCAGTCTGCCGCCTCCACCCCTGTGTCCACCAGCAGCGGCGTCTTCGGGGCCTCGTCCAGCACCAGCAGCCCCGGGCCCTTCTCCTTCGGGCAGTCTTCTGCCAGCACTGGAGGAGGGCTCTTTGGCCAGAGCACCACTCCAGTCTTCGGCCAGAGCTCCAGCTTCGGGCAGGGTGGCTCTGTTTTTGGAGGCACCTCAGCCACTACCTCCACAGCAGCTTCTTCAGCCTTTAGCTTTAGTCAGGCTTCAGGTAAGCACTCATAGAAGGCCTTTCTTTTGCTCCCTCTGCACTTTGAAACATTTGCCATAAGCCTGTGTTAACTTTTTTAATTGAAGCAACAAGCAGCAAAAACTAATAACCTGTAAGATGAAGAAAATGTGTATGGGGCCTTTGGGGCGTCTTCGGCCTCCCTGACAGCTCCACCTCAGCAAGCTCTCTGCACTGCCCGCTGCCTGTTGCACCACTGCCAGCACTGTGGGGGAACCAGGCGTCTTTAAATGAGGCTGTGCATAGTGGGCGCTGTGTCTGAAGCCATCCTGTCTGCAGAGCCCAAGCTCAGCTCTGGCGGCACTGTGTGTGGGCCTCGAGAAAAGCTGCTGCCCTTTGTTCTCCAGGCTGTCTCGCCTGCTGGCAGGTGCCTGATGTCTAGGGAGCTGGCTCTTTTTTTCTTTTCCAGTGTTATAATTTAAAACATAAACTTTAAAATTTTAGTAGTCTTTTGAAAAGACTTGTTACTGTACTTTTATGTCTCCATTTTTTAATTTTTTGTATTTTAGGGAAGACTCTCCAGGGTGTGCAGGGTCTCACTACTAGATCTGACTCGTAGTGATCCTCCTGTTTACAGCCTCCCAAAATCTGGGATGACAGGCCTGCGCCACCATGCCCAGTCTCAATTGCCACCCAGTCTCAATTGCTGTCTCAGCATGCCCCGGGGACAGGGGCTGGCACTACAGGCCCAGAGATGAAAGCCCCAGCCCCTGCACCTGCTTGCAGGTACTTTAACCCGCTGAGCTATTTGGCCGGCCCTAGGTCTCCAATTTTAACAGCTGCTTTTATCCCAAAAGCTACCAATGGACAGGTTAATTTGTAAATCTTTTCTGGGCTTGGCATTCTGATGGGTCTATTAGGAAAGGGAATTGGCTAGCTGTTAGGCTGTACGGAAAACCAAGATCAGTGATTTCTTGGCAGACACGATTATGAGTAGCTGCTGAGTAATTTCTTCAGTAATTGAAAATGGCTCATATTTTATTAGAAAGGAACTGCTTTCCTGTCTACAGATAGGATACTTGTTGCAAGTTCAAGACCAGTCTGGGCTACGAAGTGTGTTCACGGCCAGTCTAAACTGCACAGTGAGACCCTATCTCAAAAAGACAAAAAGAGGGGGCTGGGGAGATAGCTCAGTGGAATAAGTACTTCCCTGGCAAGTGCAAGGGCCTGAGTTCAATCCCCGGTTCCGCCAAAAAAAAAAGACAAAAAAGGAGATACTAGACTTCTGTTATTAAGGACATGAGTGAAGAGGAACAGTCCAGGACCCCGTGTGGCTGATAGGGTTAACAGAATTGTGACAGGTGGGGAGAGTCCTCGTTCTAGCTCAAGATTCTGTACCGGCTCTGTCCAGTGCTGAGTGCCCTGCAGTCAGTACTTCAGGAGCTTCCTCAAACCAGTTCAGCATCCTCAGCACCCCAAAGGGCCTGGCTTCTACTCAGCACCTGCGTAGAAGCTGCCAGCCAACTCCCCAGGCCTGGCAGGCTGTCAGGCAAGTGTGCCTCAACCCAGTCCAAGACTCCCGTCACACAGGCGTAGGCCTCCCCTACCTGGGCAGCCATGCATCTCCACCGTGCACCACCAGCAGGGTGGGACATGAGCCACCTTGGAAGGGCCTGGGGGTTGAGAGCCAGGGAGAGCACTCAGTGAACAGGGGCCTGGGAGAAGCTGCCCTGAGTTCGCAGCTCGGCCAGCACCCCTTGGAGCAGAGGAGGGCTTGGGCTTGCTGTGAGCTTACAGTCTCAGACACAGGTGACACAGTTGACCTTGCACCTACAGGTGCAAAAACAGCCTTGGGTTAGCACCACTGAGAAGCCCATACTGACTGACTTAGTGTCAGCATTGTGCCAGGTGACATAAGTGATCGGGGTGAATGGGAGTGTATGGGAGCCTTGTGCCGCTTAAAGCTTTATCTGTAAGTTGACATATTGTGGAATAATTCTGTACACCTGAATACCTTTTTGGTGTACAGAATACTCCCTGTTGTAAAAGACCCATCCAAATTGAGTTCATGTTTCCTTTGTTCTCCAGGCTTTGGATCTAATAATACCAGCTCTGTGTTTGGTCAGGCAGCCAACACTGGTGGGACCGTCTTTGGCCAGGTAAATATGTGTGTTTGTCTGCGTGGTGTCACCATTGGCCATTTTCCCCTGTGTGATGTCACTCACTGTGTGTCCAAACCCAGCAGCCTTCACTGCCTCAAAGAATGCATTGTCTACTTCAGATTAGAGAGAATCCAGGTACTGTACTGACCTTCTTTGGACGTCCTTGCCTATTCTGTTTTTCCTTCACTTGTTCTCTTAGGCCAGCAGCTGCCAAGCTCATCCTTAAGCCTTATTTAAAGTTCTTGGAAAAAAAAGTAGGAAGAGACCAGTGTGCAGCAGAGAGCACATGCGTGCCCTGGCCCTGCCGGCCTCCAGCTTGAGTTCCTGTTAGCACAGGGAGCTGTTGCACCTCGTGGAGCCTGTGGTCACCCATGTGCCAGGCTTGGCTCAGGAAGTCATCCTGGGTAGGTGCCAAGGACCCCAAGAGCCCAGAGAAATGGGATTTGCTATTTCCGGACCAGCAGCTCTTAGAGCAGAGCACAGTTCTGAAGAGGAATTGGCAAAGGGAGCAGGCATGGTGTTTCTTGCAGTTCTTCAGTAGGTCTTCTTATCAGCTCTTGTTTCCCTTGAAGGTAGGCTCCACCCTACTCAGTGTTCTGTAAAAGAAGGAAATGAAACTTCTGACTTCCGGTTCCTGGTAGTGCAAGCCTGGGTCATTCACACCAAGTTCTCTGCCAAAGCCAGCAAAAAATATTAGGTGAAATGTAGAAAGCCTTGATGAGCTAACGTGTATTTTACCAAACCAACACAGATGGAAAAATGGGAGCCTGGGAGCAAGCATAGCACCCTGCTGCTTTCAGGACTTTTACTAAACTGAGAAAATATGGATTTTTGTGTTTAATATCCCTAAGAAAAAAGGGACCGAGAGCACTAAAATGTTCTCAAAGTAGGAAATGCAAAAGTGAGACTTCCCATACTAAGCTGGGACTCGGTTCACACGCTCCGTCCCTGAGCATAGACTGCCGTGGTCCTGGGTTGGTCCCTGCAAAAGCAGGCAAGGCAGCCCATCCCCCTCTAAAGCAAAGGAACTTTCCTAGAGGCCACAGAACATTCTTACGGGTGATTGTTGAGAACCTTATTTCTCACAATTTCACTTCACAACCACACAGGGAAACGGAACTATTAGCTCAAGTCAGTAAATCTCAGAATACATGGACTGGGGAGATGGCTCAGTGGAATAAGCACTTCCCTGGCAAGTGCAAGGGCCTGAGTTCAATCCCCGGTTCCACCAAAATAAATAAATCTCAGAATACATTCGCAGAGATAGTCTGGACTGCAGAGCAGTGTGGCTCACATTCTTAGGAATAAAAAGACAAACTTGAAAATACTAGTTAGGATTAGGAAATGACAAGTGTCATAGCAGCTTTGAAAATCACGTAGCACCACTTAGGAAAAGAACGTAGTTTAGGAACTCAAACCAAAGGTGTTGGGGATGTATTTAAGGGCAGCTGAGACTCAGCTCTGCAGGGCATGAGTCAGAGGACCAGGGCCACAGAGCGAGCGCTGCAGGCCTGCCAGGTTGCTGGTGTGCGTCCTGTGCGCAGTTGTGCGGCTGGCACAGAAGCAGCCGCACAGTTCACTGGGAGAGGGCCTGGGTCTGTGCCAGTCAGGCTTTATTTAGAAAAGCAGATGGTGGGTGGGATTTAGTCCCTGAAGTTTGCTGACCCTTGAATTAAAAGGTGGGTTATCTGCTGGAGGGCAAAAAGGATAGAAAAGACAGTGGAGGACAGAAATCCTCTAAGAGAAAATGTAGCGTATTTAATCAGTGTTCAAGAGAAGAGAGAAAACGTGGCACTATTAGAAGACAAAAAGAAATTTTCAGAGCAATAGATAAAAGTGACTCACAGCTTCAGAAGACTGACAGGGGCTAAACAGAGCACATGAAAAGAAACTCTGGCGCGGTGGAAGTGCGGACAAGCCGAGATAGAAGACCAAGGGGAGCGAGGAGGAGGCGCGCTACCAGCTGAGGAGCCACAGACGGGCAGCAGCTGACCTTGACGCGGCCAGAGAAGCCAGAAGCCAGTCTGCCTGCCTGGGATTGTCTGCCAGCAAGAAATGCCTTTGAAGAAGGGAGACAAATCAAGATGGTTTTGCAGGTGAACAGATGCTGAGAAAATTCATATTAGCTGACCTAAAGGAAGGCCGAGGGCATGTTTTGCAAGTAAAAGAAAAATTTGACCCCACCAAAATTATGGCTTACTTTTAGAGTAAAACAAGGAAAACTGTAGCCTATGTAACCAGCAGAGTAGATGCGTTCAGAATATAGAGAGTTCATACATATGAAGAAGATACCTACGCCTGTACCGAAATGGTTATGCAGTGGCACACAGAAACACCAAAGCAACACCCGGGATTTGGAGGCCAGTTTACTTAACATTGGATGGGCACGGACAGGACATTCTGCTCCCCAAAACGTCAGGCCATGAAGGCCCAGGGAGGAAGGAGTTGTTTTGGGGCGAGGGGAGTAGCAAGTGAAATGTTTGGCTGTCTTTGATTGGTTCTTACTATGTGTGTCACAATGAACAGCTGTTCTAAGAGACAAAAGTGACTGGAACTCAACAGGAACTGTCACCTGGCCAGCAGGAGTATTCTGTCAAGTTGGGGGACATTTTCTGCTACAGTTAAAAATAAAAGTGCAGACAGTACCATGTATTGGCGAGGAGTAGAGCAACTAGAAGCTCGTTTCGCCCGGGAGTGTAAGTTCACGTCAGGTCTGTGGGAAACCATGTGAGTCTCAAAACTGCACACACGGTCTTCATTGACCCAGATTCACCACGCAGAAGTGAGTGGCTTTGTTTACCAAAAGGTAGGAAAATGCTCATAGCAGTGTATTCATGGTAGCTAAAACAAGAAGCAACTTCAAGCTTCCTGCGATGAATAGACAGATGAATTATGCCATATTTACATAGCAGAAAAACTGCAGTGCAAGGAAATAAGATGTGCTGTTCCTGTTCCAAAGAAACGGATGAATCCCCAGGCTCAGCAGTAGGTGAAAGGAGCCCACTGCTGGAGTACTGGCTGTAGGGTACTGAGTTCTTCCCAGAGGTCACGGGCAGGTGGTGACTAAAGTCCCCATCAGAAGAAGGGGGCTTGCGAGTGGTGGAAACAAGGCCTGCAGGCACTCGTGAGCACACAGACCTCATACGCAGTTGTGGTCACACAGCAAAGTGCCATCAGCTCTCAATTTTCTTTTCTTTTTTTTTTTTTTTTTTTGTGGTACCGGGGATTGAACTCAGAACCTTGTTCCATTTGTGAACATAATAAAAAGCACTGGGCACAGTGGCTGGGGTTTGATCCCCAGCCTGCCGTACCGGGTGCACTGAGAAGAGGATTGAGCCTGGGTGTGGTGGCATGTACTCAGCGCTTGGGAGGCTGCAGACAGAATCACCACAAGTCCGATCTGTGTAGCGAGACCCTGTAGATCCTGTAGACCCTGTCCTAAATACATACATACATACATACATACATACATAGCAATGAGAAGGGCCAGCGAGATAGCTCAGCAGACCAAGCGCCTGCTTAGGCAATCACAGGGCACTGGGTGTGATCCCAGGTACCACTGCCACACTGGCCCCACCCCCAGGCTCACTGAGCTGCCATCGAGTCCAGGCGTAATGGCACAGACCTGTAATCCCAGCACTGGGGAAGCTGAAAATAGCTGTTGGACAGCGCTGTGGCCCATTGCACTGAAATGTGTGGCTAAAATGGCAATTTTATATTGTATATATTTTACCACAATAAAAATGGAAGAGTAAGAAAACATTTTAAAAACAGAGAATAGACATGGGACCAGCAAGCATGACGATTTTAACTTTAGTAGTGAAACAACATAGAAAGAGCATAGAACGCCTCCACTGTGGCCAGTGGTGGCACACACCTGTAATCCTCGCTGCTTGGGAGACAAGAGGATCACAAGTTCAAAGCCAGCCGAAGCAACTTAGCGAGACCCTGTCTTAAAATTTTTTTTTTTTTATTTTATTGATTTATGTGGTGGGGGGGGCAGCTCAGCCCACCAGGAGGCGGGGCTGGCTGGCATGTGGTGCTGGGGGATTGAACCGCGGTCCCTGTGCTTTGATAAGCTTGTTCTAAGTAGCTGCTTTAGACCACTGAGCCATCTCACCAGCCCTGTCTTAAAATTTTTAAAAAGGAGTGAGCTTCAGTTCAGTGTTAGGGCACTTGGCTAGCATGATAAGACCCTTGGTTCAATCCCCAGCACCACAGACAGAGCAGAAAACCTTCACTCCCAGTAACACACCAAGAAAAGCGAGTGTTGGAGTGAATTATGTAGTACTGTGGAACAGTCTGCGGACACCCTAGTGGCCTGCAGCGGCTGTTTATCAGAGACTGCCTGGGTCAGGGGCTCAGAGGGGCATGGGGTGGGGACTGGACTCTGTCCCCAGTAGCCACACTCCTAGCTGCAAGGACAGGAGCCTGGGGGCTGGGTGTCCTGGGTGACAACCTGAGCATGTCACCACCTCAGCCTGGGCTGCTTCCCACAGCAGTGGCTGCACTGCATTTCTTTTTTTTTTTTTTTTTTTT